TGTTTCCAGGAGGATTTATTTCTGATATCTAGATGGTGGTTAAGGGAGAGGTTTCTTCTGATGTTTGCAAACTCCAGAGAGGAAATCAAATCCTAGGGCGGAGGGAGTGGAGCAGAGGCAGGGGAAGCGGGGAGCTGAATGATTCAGTCAAGAAACGCTGAGGACATTGTCCACATTCTACAGTCTACAATGAGTCCATCTGAGAACCTCCCTTTCCTAAGCCTTTGGGTCCCTTAAAACTGTATTGTAGTGTGCACGACTATGGCTGTATGTGAGAAATCATTTCAATGGTGAGATTGCAAAGAGAACAGTGTTCAAGATTATCCCTTGACTGGTGACAGGGAATTCTCACTTAATGTGAGGAACCCAAAGGTTTAGGAAAGGCTATTCTCAGATGGACTCATCGTAGTTGGTGGAATGTGGGTGATGCCCTTAGTGGTTTTTGACTGAAGCATTCAGCTTTCCTCCCCCCATGTATCCATGGTTTCTGCACCCCCAAATTTAATCAAGCAGAAATTGAAAATATTTGAAAAACAATTGTACACATGTATTGGTCATGTACAGACTTTTCTCTTGTCATTGTCCACTAAGCAACCAGTACAACATCTATGTTCATAGGATTAAGTAATCTAGAGATTAGTTAAAGTATGTAAGAGTACGTGTCTAGGTTATATGTACAAACTGTGCCATTTTATGTAAGAGAACTGAGCATTCACAGATGTGGAAGTCTATGAGGTTCCTGGAACCAGTCCTCTGTGAATAACAAGAGATGCTACGTTGTACTTCGTTCTCTGTTCATCAGGTTTCTTCTCTTTCTCTTTCTCTCTCTCTCTCTCTTTTTCTTTCTCTCCCCCACCCCTACCCACCCACAGGAACTACCACTGAGCTCCACCTGTCCTGTTTAGTGGATTTTGATAATTCAAGTCCACCATCCCCCCCTTATTTTTTCTTATGTTTACCACGTTTGCTTCCTTTCTGTCCTTTCTCTCTAGCCTGTCTTATAGCCTGAGCTTTTCACTTGAAGTGAAAACAAAGAACCAGCTGGACTTTGTTAGAGGCCCTTTGCCTTCCATGGCTCCCACCCTGCCCCAGCCGTCTATGGGGGTGGCTAGGGACCCTGTAGCATAACCTCAGTATGATAAGGCTGTTTAAGGGTGATGCAGCCCAAGGCTTCGGGATGATGGAATCCCCCATGACCACAGTGATGCTCAAACCCAGCCTCTTAATTCGTTTTCCTCACGTCGCTGAGCTTTGAGTGCTCATAGCTCAGGAATGTTGGCTCCTCAGCTTTGGTGACAGGGCAACCCAGCCAAGTGAATGCCGTGTTAAGAAAAGCAGCTACCGTATATTATTACTTGAACAAATGAAAATAATTCCTCCAGATCACATTTCTTTGGGCCTGCTGGGCTCAAGCACTAGTGTGACAATGTCTTAAATTCCACGTAGGTCTAATCAGACACATGTGGAACCAAATCCACTTAAAAAAAAAAGAAAGAAAAAAAAAGGTGTTCAGTTCTCACCATGGAACTTGGCAGAGAAGAAAAGCATTTTGCAAAGGAGCATGTATTAGGTGTTTGGGGTGAATTACCTCTGGCAGAAAGACCCTGAAAAGTCTGGGGATTGGGATAGAGAACACATCCATCCTCTTGTCTTTAGAGCTAAATTTGTCTTTAAAGATTTTCACTTTATGGCTGTTTTGGCCATTTTGCCCATAATACTGCTGGTTGTCTAGTGGGGCAGGGCACAGGGGTGGAGTGGGTGGGAGGAGGAGGGGAAGGAGAGTAAAACAAAAGTCTGTCACAAGAGTCTTTTTGCAACTCTTGACTGCTTCTTGTTCTGGAGAAAGACCTTCCAGCTCGGAAAATGTGGGCTAGTAATTATTTCTAGATAATTACTGTTAGGAAAATTGTCACCTTGCACTGTCTAAATTAGACAGTGTCACGTTAGAAATGTCAGGAAGTGTTTTCATCAGCTGCCACTCTTCTCATGCCAGAACAGCTCTCTAGCAGGCCCCTCTACCCATGCATCCCTCCCTGCACTTTCCCATGGTCATGTCCTCTGTCCAGTCTCTGTGCTAGGTGACAGTGGCAGCAGACTCAGGGAGGGAAGATGCCAGGTAACCATCATGAAGCTTTTTATGGATGAAATCAATTTCATGCTTATCATGCTACGATTGATTAAAATTATGAAAACTCAGTCATAATTTCAAAACTAAAGTGCTTGAAAGCATGACTGAACTCCCAGTAACTTCTTGATAGTCTATTTTTCCATACTGGTAGATGTCAACAGAACTACCATCAGGTGGAGTTGCTTAACAATTTTCTTAACTTTAAGGGGAATGAGAAAGTTGGAATTCACTCATTTCAGCCTCAGTCTACACCTGAGAGGGCAAAAGTCCAGGCCCAGAAAAGCTCAGAGACTGCCCAAAGTAAGACCAGGGTAGGTTGGGCCAGGAACTGGAACACAGGTCCCAGCCTGTCTCGCCAAATTCTCTCACCTGCAGAGCCCTAAGGCAGGGCTGCACCCAGCCGTGACTGGACACTGGATGGGAGACCTTGGGGACCTTAGAGATGGGGACATTTGGAGGGGAGACCCCGTGTCACCATTGCAAAGTGAAGACTGTGGGGCAATGTTTGTAAAGCATCCTGCAGGGCACCAAACAGTAGGTGCTCAATACAGCCTAGCCATTTATATTGTTGACTGCCCTGAGGCTCTGCACCCCTCTTTCTGAGAGGTGGGAGAGATACTGGAAGGCCACTTCCAGGTGGGTTTTCCAGGCTCTCATTCTCTGATCGTTTGTTGTTACCTTGTCCTCTCTCATTCCCCACTCCACTACCCTTCCCCTCCCCCAGGAGAGTAGCAGCTGAGCCACTAGAGTGAGGAGGAGGCAGCTCAGGGGGCTTCGAGGGAAATAGTGTGAATGAAATCACCACCCCGGGTGAGTCTTCCTGGCTCCACAGATCAGTTGGCAATTGTTTTTTTAGACTGTGATAATGGCCCCTGAGGGGTAGAGGAACTGGACAGGGGCTGTTCAGGGGCATCTGGTCCCCAGCCACACAAAGCATCAGGTGGCCCTGCTTGGGACATAACTCTCCAGTCCCACTCTCTGACCCCAGCGGTCCAGGGAGGAAAATTTCCCACCTTGGAGAAGATGGTTTTTGACAAAGGGTACTGAGTTTGCAAGGGTGCAGAGTGGCAAGTCTGCTTTTAGAGAGGTTCCCTTTGTCCCGGACTCTGCTATTCATCACCATGAGGGAGCTGCTAGAGTCACTTGCCTGATGGGCCAGGGTGTTTCACACTTGAAAAAAAATGGCTGCTACTTGCTACTTAGCGTGTGTTTCCACTCTGGGGCCCACTCTCTGACAGTTAAGTGTGTGCTCATAGTCTTCCCTAGTTTCTTCTACCAGGACCAGAGGATTCAAGAGAAGGGGATAAATTTACCCTGTATTTGTGCCTGCTTCCCCTCTCTACAGTTGAATTACTTTCTGGGTGAGAAAGATATCAGAGTTTATTAATAAGGGTGGCAAGAGTAAGAATTTATGCAATTGTGCTTTGTTCCAGGAGATTTACTGCTAAAATCTCCAACATGGAATTCTACAGCCAACACGCTGAATTCCCAAGGCTCTTTGGAGGAGGTGCCCCATGGAAGGGGCACCTTCTTCACCAAAGCCTGGTTGGTCCCAGCTGCTTCCTCTGCTCCCTGTCACTTTCCCAGAGAGCAGTGGAAAGCGCATCTTAGAATTCCAGGTCTCATACTGTATTTCATTTCACTGCCCCTCTGGCTCTCAGGGATGGGGCAAGACTGATGTCCTGCCCTCCAGAGCTTCTGTAGCCTGGCAGTCCCCCAGACTGCCTTTGCCTCAAAAACACCCAAGAACTTCAAAAGAAAAGAAAACCGAAAAGAGATTTGTAGCCCACCTCCTAGCCCTGCTGCATAAAAATCTCAGAAGGAGGTCCCTGGAAATCTGTACTTTTAACAGGTTACCAATGTGGTATGCAGCTCTGCAGAAATGTGTTGAAGACCCACTGATTTTAATCCACACCATGTGCCCCCATAAACAGCCCAGACTTTGAGACATTAGCACTAAAAACTGTGTAGCAGAAGCAATCCGATCAACTCTTCCAGGATTAAACAGGCCTCCTCTGCTAGTAAAGTCCCCTGGAGTCCAGCACCAACTCCATGTCTGTTGGCCACTTTCTGACCTTCAGTTTGTCCTCCAAGGGACAGCAGAACAGACCTCCACACCCTCCCCACAAATAACTCTTGTGTTCTTTGAGGATGGTTCAGAGGGCTTCATTTTTTCCTTCCTTCCTTCCTTCCTTCTTTCCTCCCCTCTCTTCCTTCTTTCTTCCATTCTGGGGATGGAAGCTAGAGTCTCGCACAAGCTACACAGTTGCTGTACCACGAGCCATACCCCCACCCAGCATCCTTAGCTTTCTTATTTCTGTCAAAAGATCTCTTGATTTCACCAACATCATAGTGATGTTTTTCGTATATATGGGATAGGCCAAATCATGAGCTGAGAGTCCCAGGAGTGAGTGGTCAGAGAGCAGAGGTTTTGCTTAGACACTGACTACTGCACCAGAGGACCAGCATTGCCCTCTAGCATGAGAAATGACCTGCATTCCCACCCTTCCTGTGGTGCTCTGGCTGGGTGTCTTTCAGAGGGACGTCATCACCCAGACTCATTCACAGGCCTACCTCTAGTTCATGAAGCATGACAGCTTCGTTCCAAAACAGGCTTCCCTCTGACCCAAGAGCACCCTGAGCTCTGGTTTCTTTAATTGCAAAGGCCCGGGTGGATGAGCAGGTAGGATAGGGAGAATCATAGTCCAATGCACAGGCTGGTTGACTGAAGTGTCAAGGCCCCTCACTTGCCTCTGTTTTCTCTTTCTAGGTAAAGCTTCACTTCTCTTTACTGTATTTTTGTTATTTTTTCAGTTGTATAAGAATCAGGGCCTCATGCAGCCTGGAGCTCTCCCTAGGCCAAGGAACTTACCGTTGTGTACAATCTTCCTTTACTGTTCATGGCAACAAAGAGGGCGCTTTTCACTCCAAAGAGGCTCACCACACCTCGCTCCACAGTGGAAATTTCCAGGAGGCCTGACAAGGAAATGGAGGCCTTGTTAGCTAAGGTTCATACGAGTCGGAGTGGAGACTAAAACCCCACCAGTGCATTCCGTCCATCCCCCTCCGAGGTCAGACCCTCCATCAACTCTGCCCTTGATTACAATAACTTCAGGGGATCCCACTGCTAGACTTCTCATGTTCCGCCACACCCTGTTAAACAGCCAGCTCTGCAAGGACAAGTTCTACATTGGACTTGGGGATGGGAATGACTACTTGTGCATCTACGGAATCTGGGCTTTCACTGACTCAATCACTTGAGGTCCTCGATTCAAGTAAAATCGTTGCTTATTATTACTATTATAATTATTATTATTTAATGCGTGCTCCAGAGATTTGTTTCAACACATCCATCGTATGTCACAAACACTGTGGCTACAGAAGTTAATGGCTGGCCTGGACCCTGAAAGTCCCCATCTTGTCTTGGCTGGGAGTCTCCATGCAGCTACCTGTCAACCTGTAGGATAAGGACCTGGGGACAGAGGGACTAGGTTGAAAGAAAAAGAAGGATGGGCTTCAGCTGGAAATTTTGGAAACCACTTGCCTTTCCTTCTCAAAGAGAGAAGCTGAATAAATATCAGCTTGTGCCTAATTTGGTCCAAGTGTTCTAACTCATTCTCCCTACTGCTGCCTTATGGCTCTCCAAGCTGGTTCTGCTTGTCTTATAAGGTCTCAGATGGCCAGAAATGCTGAAGTAATTAGTACCACAGGGGCTCCATGGGGTGATGACTAGGGACACCAAGATGCCTGGACCTCAGCATATGAAGCTTGCACCTGGGCAGGGTACAAGAATCATTTAAGTGGTGCATAACATTCTCCCCTTTTAGAGTAGGGTCCCATCCACCAGGGCAAGGACCCTCCATCTTTTAGCCCTGCTTGAGCCCAAGCCCCCGAGTGTCCCCAACCAGCTGCAACTGGAACTCACTGTGGGGGTTCTCCTCGTGTGTCCCACTGATCCTGCCGTCGGGGGTCACCTGGAGGTGGAAGCCAATGCCCACGTTGCAGTAGAGTCTCCGCTGCCGCTTGATCCCCACCAAATAGCCACTTTCCCAATTCACCCCGGCGATCTCTCCTGCTAGCCCAGCGCGAGACCTGGAGAGCAGGGTGCCCCAGCCTCTGGAGTCCAGCAGCGTGCTGTTGGCACGGGCGCCTGCGGGCAAGGGCACCACCATGCCCACTAGGAAGCCTAGGAAGACGAGAGCCTGCAGCGTGCCCTGAAGACGTCCTGCTCCCCGGGACATAGTGATGAACAGCCTCTGTCCCAGGGCCATCCACCTTGCCTCTCAGGCACGTGGTCAGAATTAATGGCCCTAAAAATACCGCCCTTCTTGTTTTTCTCCCCTCGGCATGGCGGCAGGGGCTTATTTTTGGAAGGCAGATGAAGGCTGCTGACATGAAACCAAAACCTGCTTTGGGCACTCGGGTTGAGAGCAGAGGGACCCCGGCTGAGCCGTGGCCGGTGGGGACCATGGCTCGGGGACGCACTCTAGCTCGTCGGCTTGCTCTGTCCTGAGGTGATTCTATTTGATTTGACCTATCTTTATAGTTCGGCAGCCCGGCCCTCCCTTCCACCCATCATCACCCTGACGTCAGGCGGCCCAGCTCACTTATCCAGGACTGTAACATTAACCTGCTCCTGGGCCTGGCTGCCACCCCAAACCCCCATCACCCTCTCCACTCCCCAGGGATTCTGGGAGCCACTGTCATTCCAACTATGAGGCAGGAATGAAGTTAGCAGGGGGCATCTCTGGAGGGTGGTGTGGAGCTGGCTGGGGGCCCAGAGGAAGGAGGCAGAGGCTACCCAGGACCCATATTGGGCAGCAGTTTTTGGCTTGGTGAGTCTGGCTTCCTTATTTAGAGGGCAAAGAGTAAAGCTAGGGATGGAGGCAGGAGTTGTGGCAGGTGATGATGGTGGCCTACAAGTTACTCTCCAGACATTTTCAAGGAAAGAGCTCATGGCTGAAGAGCACTCCAAAAGTCCAGATGCTTTTAGTATGAGACAGATTCAGGGGGAGAGAGGGCCTAGGAATGTAAAGGGAGGGAAGGTCAGCTCCACCTTCCCCTGTTCACCCTTGTGGTCATGGCATTCACCAGAGGTGGAAGTTATATCTGGGTCTTCACACAGCCTGCTAGCCATATTCCTACCTCTGCTCATCCTTGGTGTCTCACTGATATCATTCTCATTTTACAGATATGAAAGCAGAGGCTTAGACTTGCCTGAATTTCCAGAGCCAGTAAGCAGCAGGGCCAGAGCTTACAAAGTCTGCCTGGATCCACAGCCCATGTGTGATATTGCTTGTAAATACAAGTTAGATTTCCACACTGGCCCACTGTCTATGTTGCTCATGTACACCAAGAATACATCATAGCGTTATATCACACAAAATGATTCATCTCTTTAAAAATCTGTATCAAGTATCTCCTGTTGTACATGGAAGTTTCTTCATTTACAGCTAACTTTTGCTAGGCTGATGCTTCTGTTAGAAGCTAGTAAAAATAGTTCTACAAATATCCCTACACCCAATTATCTCTTCTCATATCACTGTTGCATGTCTATCTGAAGTTTAAAAATCCTTTTAAAAGGTACCAAAAAAAAAAAAAAGCCCTTAGAAATTGCTATGCAAATATAAGAAGGAACCATGTTTCTGAGAGCAAAACAAGTTAGGAAGGCTCATGTAGGGAAAAAACTTGGGTTTCAAACCTAGGTTCCTTGTCTTTCAGTGCAGGTCTTATCTGCTGGGAAGAATCATCACCAACAGTGCAGGGGGAGGGAGGACTGGACCCAGTGTGGTGCTGGGGAGGGAGGACTGGACCCAGTGTGTTGCTGGGGAGGGAGAGGAGGTAGCTAGAAGGGGCGAGTTTGGACATCCTGTGCAGATAGAGCCTGCCAGCTCCCTCAGCTACACTCCACCCTCAATCCTGAAGCCTTCAGGCAGTCTGGGAAAGCTCCTGTGGCAATCTCCACTGCTCAGGGACTCTTCTGAGACACCACTACCTCCCTTCTGATTCTAAACCTCCTGCTTGTCCTGGGTTCCAGCCTCTGGTCTGTGGCTTCTGCTTGCCTTCCGCCCTGTGCCATGTTCATTTGAATTGATGCTTTGGCTAGCATTTCTTTGAACTGTCTATCCCAGTTTTGTCCTAGACATGTTCCTTCAGAGCCTCTCAATTGGTAAATGGAGGGGGGAGAGAATGCGGTACAAGTGCTTGCTATGGCCCTCACCATGCAGTCCCCAGCTTCTCCCTCCCACCACCTCTGTTGCCTTACACCCAACCTCACCATCACAACTAGGAAACACTAGAGCTTTGTGGGCATTGAGTCTACTGCACAGACCTCTGCTGAAAAACTGTTTTTAAAGGAAGTTTCAGAAGCATCTTTCTGTAGAAGAGGAGGGTGAAGAAAAACTGAAACACAAAATTGTCAACAGAAAGAATTTCCCTTTGGATTTCCAGTTTGATTTCATGTGTTTAAGCCCTCAGTGTGTCACGGTGGTAGGGGCTCTTTCTTACTGCTGTTTAGTTTGCAGTCTTGGGTTAACTTGGGAAAGGGGCATCCCAGAAGCTTGTTGGGTGAGAGGGAGACTGTGACAGTTATATCTTGAGTGTCCCCAAAGCCTTGTGTGTTGAAGACTCTGTCCCTAGCTGATGGAACCTTTAGAGGGTGGTGCCTAGCAGAAGGAAGTAGGTAATTGAGGATGTGCCTTTGAAAGGGTGTTTGGGATGCCAGTCTGTTCTTCTCCCTCTCTTTTCTTCTCAGATGCTATAAAATATACAGGCCTTCTCTGCTACTTGCTCCCACCACATGTACTGTGCTACTACAGGCCCAAAGCAATAAAGCCAAGCAACCATGAACGGAAACTATTTGCCATAAGGTTACCTTTCCTCCTTTTAAGTATTATCCCAGGTATTAGTCATAGTAACAGAAAGGTGACTAGCACAGAGGAATTAGTCTGAAATTAACATTTGTTTTGTATAATCGAAGAGGTGTTCATTGGCAGAGATCAGATAAGGATCTCTGTGGAACATCTCTTGGAACCCATCCACTTTGGAACTGCCTTCCCTTCAAAGAGAGATGAAAGTATAGCAAGGCCCATGCAGAATACCAATAAAAATGGTAAACCCCTTCATATCAACCTCATCCCTGATTCCGCTACGTGCAGAGGTTGCAGTTGTGGCTAATGTCATATAAAGTGATGGGTTTTGTTGGAGGGACCTGGATTTGAATTCCAACTGTACCCCTTATTAGCTGTGTGACCTTAGGAAAGTTTTAGACCTCTCTGAGTCTCATTTATTTTTCATCTGCAAAATGAGATGGTTACAGTGATTAGTGCAAGGTATGCAAAAAGCCATTGCAGAATACAATACAACGGCTTTTTTGTGTAACTGGTCTCTGAAACACATCGAAAATCTCCCACCTAATTAAGGAGGGACATGCTCTAAGTGAGAAGGGTCATCTCTCATCTCAAGGGGTGGAAGAAACACGTGGGCCTCCAGTCCTTAACTGCTGCCTACCAGAGCATATGTTGTGATGGCTGTTAACATATGCAGGAGCAGGCAGCCCAGATTCCTAAAATATTCTGAAAACCAGTAATAGCCTTGGTGTCGTCCCCTGTTAAATATAAAACTTAAGTAATTCATTCTATTAAAAAGCCTGGGTCTTATTTTTATCAGGTGATGTGATGAGGCCCTGTTATAAATGCACCTCCTGTGCCTGTCTCTATAGCAACTCCACTGTGCTCAGATAGCCATATATTTTTCCTGAAGGCTAATTAAGTTGACAACTGCAAGGGCTTCTTGGTTTACCAGATTTGCACTTGACCCTTCACTTGGGGCTTAGGGACCCCTATGGATGTGAAGTGATAAAGAAAAGAGTAACAGGTGGAAGAGGCCTCTCATGGACCCCTCTTTCAAATAGTTGCCCTGCAGCCTTTGGGGGTTGTCAATCACTCTTTCTGGATGAGCTGAGACTTAGTGGAGGTGAATGGAGAGCTATATTAACGTGTGTCTCCTTCTATGAGTGGGTGCAACGAAGTATAGATGGCTCAAATTTGGCAACTTAGCTATACCTGCCTTTCATATCAGTTGCTCAGGGAAACTACCTCTGTCACAAATAGGTGGGCTGCCCTCTGGGCTCCTGTTTATTACAATAAGGTTTAAATTTTACCTGAGGCATAACCACAAGAGAGATCACATGCAGCTTAGACGGGCTATGCATGTACGTTATGGAAAGCTCAGCTTGCCTCTGTTTTTTACATTTGACTTTGAAAAAGTAATATTTGCCTTTTGCTATTGATAATTTGGAAAATACAGGTAGCATTAGGGGAAATACAGTTAACAAATAAAACAGCAGCTGGGTATGGTGGTGTACATCTATAATCCCAGGTACTTGGGAGGTGGGAAATAGGAGGACCGAGGTTTAAGGCCAGCCTCAGGCAAAAGCACCAGACTCTATCTGAAAAATAAATTAAAGCAAGAATGTCTGGGGCATGGTTCAAATAGTAGTGGTTGCCTAGCAAGCAAGAGGCTTGAGTTCAATCCCTAACACTGCAAAAAGCAAAACAAAATGCCAAAAAATCAGCAGTTTACGCTTACTGTTTTTATACCTTTTGTCTCAGAGTCTTGTCTTTGTTCTGTCTTGGTTCAGGGTTGTCCTTTAATTCACCATCCCTGCTTGCTCAGACAGGCACCTCTGCACCTGCTACAGGTTGCTCACAGGACTTAGTCATCACAAGATGGGCATAGAGGTGGGAGTTGAAGAAAAATCCCTGTCCTAAGCCTGAGTGAAGATAGACATTTAGGGTTCATGACACTTGCTACCAGAGGAACAAGAGAAAGTTTCATCCACATCAAAGGTGGAGAGGAGTCTATTACCTTGCTAGCTGTTCCATGGGGGAGAACCAGTACTTTTACTTTCCTAGTAGTACTTAATTTTCCCCAGGAAATGGAAACCCATTCATAGTCATCACCAAATTTCCCAGTTATTGCCTCTACCAATTCCTGTGGAACCTCATCCCACTATAAATCACCCCAAGACATTTCTGGAAGTTGCAAGCATGCCACTCCCCAGTGCATGAGCACATGGCTGCTCCTGACTGTGGCCACAGCAGGAGCCTGGACCACTTTCTGTGTCCTGCTGAGCAGCCCATGGCTATGACCTTTATCACTACAGCTCAGTCCCCTGAAACCTTCAAGGAGCCACAGCTGCTTTGTGCTCTTCTTCAAGGCAAGTGGGCCCACTGTAAGCCTTTCATGATGTTTTATGCCTGTGGAAGGATGTAGCCAATGGAATTGTATGTTCAGACTTCCTGCTCAGCTGAGAACTCAATGTGGTGATGGGCTGAGTGTATCAGGTTGGCCCCTCCTTCCCTTCAGGATGATTCTTTCTCAGCAGGTTCCTCAACCCTCAGACACATATTCTTCCCCAGAGCCAGTCCACCATTATCCTTGCATGTTAGACTGGAGACCTTGCTCTAGCTCCTGACTCCTTGCAC